GATAGTTATCAACGAAAGAATCTGATATGGTAGGCCCACTCCGATCTCGCAATAATCAAATAAAATCAAAGGAAGAAAATCTTGCCCGAATTGTCATGGCGCTGGGCAAATAAAGTACAAATCTTGTTCTAAGTGTACCGGTAGAAGATATCTGAATTGTTCGAAATGTTTGACAAGCGGCAAAATCCTTCAACGAAATGAAATGCATTGCAAACGATATACCGTGCGCTCAGTGACCTATCCAAAAAATACATTTTTACCAGATGAACGCATTGCAAATAGTAATGGAAAAACTCATTTTTTCGAGGACGATGTTCTGTGTCAAAATGAATCTTTGTGGTCAGACTTTGAGGGTCTCGATTGCATGATTAAGGAAGAAAGTCCTCATGATTTTATCAATGTCATTGAAAAACAATTCAGAGACAATCATGTAAACAAGACGGATAAGTCAACACAAATACGACGAGTAAAATGTTCAATTCAACGTGTAGACATACTCGAGATAGATTATCAAGCAGGAGATTATGTCAACAAAACTAATGGCTATAAAGGTAGGTAAATCCATTCATATCAATGCTAACCTTTCTGACAGCCATACGTAATATTAACAATATGTTTTCCGTTTAGGTCCGACAACATTCACTTTTCTGCTCTATGGCCGCGACATTAAAAACGCTCCTGAAATTTATGAAAACGACTATCCATTGAATACATGCGGTTGTCTTGGCCATTCATGTGCATGCCGCTCGAGATGTTGTACAGTTTCCTAAAATTCATTCAATGGCCTACAATCAAATACTTTGATTAGCTCGACTACTTTACGAAAACTTTCTGTTTTTTAAGTTCGTTTTATTTCCAATTATTAAACGTCCGCCAGACCAGTCTAACTGTTTAAAATAAATGCCAATCCAATGAAAACAAAAACATGAGAACTATTGTGAAAAGATCGATCTTATCTCCTTGATAGAATAACCAAAATAAAAAATTCAATACTTGAAAGAATGAATAACCGGTGGCGCAGAAATAATTGCGCTCTCAGTATTTCAGTGGGCATCTTGTACAGTGCGTTTTCTCCTTCCCTTCATCAAGAAGAAGTGCTGGCTCTAGCATAGACCGAATCTTTTCAAGAAAACCTCGAATCCTGACCTAAGATATCCTGCGTAGATAGATAAGAGATTATCTTGGATCGAACGCGACAACAAAAGCACAAGCACCACAATTTCGAAACATTCAAATGACATGATGATTATATTTTCGTCTTAGGAATGGCAACGTCACTCATTTTCTTCTCGAACATTCATTGGAAAGCTTTTGGACGAGTGATGTCTCACCGAATACTTTCTTGTCACTAGGCATATCATAGAGAATGAACCCGAAAGCTTGTGGAGCATACAAGAGTAGATAGGAGCCAAGTAGTGTATGACGCTGCCATTATTCAATTGTGTACATGCAAAACTAAATGTAAGAATGATTTGAGGCAGAGCAGAGAGAATAGTGAACATGGGTGCAACAAAAAGTTCTTTCTGGGTCTGAAACTTCTTCTTTAACATTTGATCACAGGCCAACTTCTGTCCAACCGTCCTAACTCGACTATGCGCAGCCAGAAAAGTGATGGTGCGAAAATTTCTGGACAAATGTTAGTTCATTTTTGACTCGCTTAAAAGTACTTCAGACAAATGAAAAACTATAGGTTAGAACCAGAGTTTTAAGCTCTTTCCGCATTTAGGCTTAGAAGTTGTTTATCTATTACTGTTCGAAAGCAGTGACAGAATCTTTAAAAGGCATAAAAAATTTGGTTCGGAGGGAAAAATTTTTTCGTACATTTTCGTATTTTCATTATTAGAATCTGGAACTAAAAATTGGAAGCTTTGTTACAATATCAGCTTGTAGAACAAAAGCTACCCTACAAAACATACAACATTTTGATTTCTTTGTCTTTCGCTGAGGAACCTGGATTTATTCCTACACTCTCATTTCTGAGAAATCAGTTTTTTGATCAGGAGTCCTTTCACGTGGAAAGCACTTCTTGAGAAAATGCGTACAGCTTCACTCGGGTAAAATCTACAGTTTACTGCAAGATCACATTTCAAGTACTCTGACCAAGAGTCTACCAAGACTACACTATATCAATCAATGAGCTTTCGACGCATGGGTTTCTTTCATAAAACCATGCATAGTAAAACTGCTATTTATCTTATGGAACTTTTTTCTATGCCAGGATCCCAGGTTTATCAAACTCGAAGTTTCAGTCGAGGAGACATCTCCTTGAACTTAAGAGGTCGAGCATTATTGGAGAAATCCTTTATTCGGGATGGTCTTCGTGCATGGAATCTTCTACCCAATGATATACGTTCAATACATAAATTGACTGATTTTAAATTCAGATTAGTCTTGCAATATATTTCGTCCTTTCGTTTACCGTTAATGCGTGATCGGCAGTTGGAGATACATCATACGCGATGTAGAGTTGATAACCCCCAACTGAATGACTATCTCTTTACTAGAAATGGATTAGAAAAGTCACCAGCGTGTGCATGTGGCTTTAATAGAGAGACTACTAAACATTTTTTCATGGACTATGCTCTTTACGATAAATCTCGTAATTTTTTGTTTGAGCAGCTGCGTATTGTTCTCAATGATAATCACATTACGGGGGAGCACATACTTTTGAAACATGAATCTATCCGAGCACTGGCTAAGAAGAACCTGATAAGAGTGTATACAGCCATCCTCCAATTTATTGATACTACCGGAAGATTTAATCAGTCATGATGTACTACATCTTCATGAGCAGGACGTCACATGGATAGAACGGATCTCAGAATTCGATTCCTAATTCTCTCTCTCTCTTTTCACCAACACTAGTATAATCTCTCTTCTCTATATACTCATTTTGTCAGCGTGTTCATCTAGAATCCGGCATACAATGGGACACCCCGAATTGCCGAATAAGTGTTTTTCTCCGGTAGTTGCATTTTTCTTTTTTTTACCATCATTCCGTGAATAAAAGAAACAGTTTAAGAAAAAAAAAAGACTGCACGATCCAAAAATTCTGAGCTGATTTTCAGAAAGCCGACCAAAAACTCCATCGATTCATTCCAAAATATCTGAAAAATGTTTTGTGCAAAAACTATTGGTGAAGACCTCAAGATCGCGGGTCAACAACATAAAAATCCATATATTAAGAGAAGGTCTGTCCATCCAGCGACAATGCCGGCCGAGGCGACTTATCTGCTTTCGCTTTCAACATCTCAAAAGAGGTTCATGTTTTTTTTCATTACGAATAATATTTTGCATCGACCAAGTTAAACTTGTAGACCACATACATTACATTGATCTATCAGTTGTCGATAAAAGTGATGAGTACAATCTGCACAAAAGTTTAGACAAATTTGTTTTCTGAACTTTTCTTTCACATCAAGTGGTGCGAACCTGATTCTAATGGTGATATAGATAGTACGAGAGGCCGGCTACAAAATAAAGTACTTTCTAGTATTTCGCATTTCTGGATCAAGAGATTTGCGCAAATCTCTTGATCTCTAGAGGATCTCTGGAAACCTTTTCTGTAAAGCTCAGGGTTTTAATTTGGATTTTTAATGTGAATGTTTCCCATTATTTGATTGTGTAAAACCAATGGGGTAGCTAATTAACTAATTGTATTGAACTTTGTAAATATAAATAATATTTGCACCAAAATTTCATTGCGAGCTTAATGCAATTGAAGGCGTTTGGTGTAACATGAAATCGTATACTCGTAAATATAGTGATCAAAAATTCAATACCATGCTTGTATTGATTCAACAATCCAGAAAACATTTTACTGAGCGAAAAATTTATCACAAACTACTTCGACGATTTTGGAAATGTCTTGCAGGCTATCAACAAGGTCAATCATATGGTAATATTTTGGAACTATTTTTTAGTAACTTATGTAAAGAAGAAATTTCAACACATAGAAGAATAACAAATACAAACATAAGTGTGGTTTGAAAAGTAACAATAGCGACAGGTCACAGTTAGTAAACAGTGCTGTCAGGTTCTGCTGTAGTTTTTCGAGATGTTCCTCTTGTATTTACAAAGTTCAATACAATTAGTTAATTAGCTACCCCATTGGTTTTACACAATCAAATAATGGGAAACATTCACATTAAAAATCCAAATTAAAACCCTGAGCTTTACAGAAAAGTTTTCCAGAGATCCTCTAAAAGTCTTTTGAGAAACTTAATTTTATGTCAATTGAATTCTACATCGTTTTTTACGTATATAGTTATGTATTCACAAGATTTCACCGAAAATTCAAGTTTTTACTCGAAGTTGACCAGCCCCAGTTCGGTGCACAGAATTCAAGACAAAAGAAAGTGCAGTTTTTCAATAAAGATACACTAATTTCAAAAAAGCAATCCTTACCTTTTTCCCCACTGATATGATGATTCGAATGAAGATAAGAAAAAATTTTTATCTCTTAATCAGAAAAACTAGATAGGTTTGCAAGATGAACAGAGGCTCTTATCTGGTTTTACTCGGGTTTCTCAAAATCTTACTTCATTTTAACTACGGAAACTGTCGAATTCGATTTTCTATAGTCAGTTTTGCATGCCGAATCAGAAAAATTAGGTTCAAAATGGTAGATCAAGAATAAATATGAAAATTTTGGTTATTTCTCAGAATTTCATGCATTTTTTCTCGTTTTAAAAATCAATATTTTGTGAACTTTTTCACCCAAAATAACTTCAGAAAGTCTCAAGTGGACTTTTATCTATGTAACTCGATGAGCTCTATCCAACTATAGCAGAAAAAACGAAAAAAAAATTCTGCTCCCTTTTTGCATTATTTGCACCTTACTTTGTTCAACCCGTTCAAGAGATAATGCTGGAGCGGTTGTTGTTGGTGAAAATTTCGTTTCCGGTAATGGTGCATGCAAATTTCATCACTGCTGATAATGTGTTCGTGTCAATACCTTTACCTGAACTTAACGATGTAGCAATCAACGAAAAACAATCTCATACTTTTAATTGCGTTCTTAATGGCAATGTTGTTCTTACTTTCAATGTTTCAACAATTATATCATCGTATTGTGCATGTACTGATGATGGTTCCAAATCTTCGTATTTAAATGATAATGGTGGTGGAGGTTCATCGCCTGTTAAATCATCTGTTTGTTGTAACGAGGTTAACGGAGATGATACGGCAGTTGATGATGTACGAAAATTCGACATAAAAGATGGTATTGATAGTAAACAATTGTCATCGACCGATTCGAAATTCTTAAAGGAAAGACAGGATTTTTTGTTTACTTATTACCAAACCATCAAACCAGCAAATTTTTTTCAATGCTTAGTCTTTTTAAACAAAGTATTTCTGCAAAATTTTCGAGAAAGTTTTTTCGGTATTTTTATTGTTGTTTCTGAACTGACACATCAGAGTACTTCAAGGCAGAGTCTTTTGTGACATCAACAGAATATATTATTATATATACAGTGGTAGACTGTGCTAACGGTGGTGTTGGATTTGGCGCACATAATCAAGTGCATCACCACGTTGCTGTATTAAACATTGTAGATCCGATAAACGTGCTGCACTGACCCTTTACATACAAAAAACATATAATGCAACTGTCCAGAAGTCTATTTATGTATTGCATACTTTTTCCAGCTTTTTCCGAAATTCCCTTGCAGTAGCACAGTTATCTGATCACGCTCAGTGATGTTATTTTGTTCTATCAGAAAAAAACGAAATATGTTTGATAGTGAAAAAAATGCAGATACATATCTTCGTGAATACATTGAATACATATGATGGAAAAAGCATATCAACAAAATCATTAGAAAGGTTCTGTGCCTCACCTGGCACAATGACTATATGACATGAACGCTTTCTGTTTTAAGCAAATAAACTACAATAAATTTACAACGTATTAGCGAAACTTCGAACTTTGTATGTGATTTCGTTTCGGAGAAATATTAATCATAAGTTACTGTAATATGAGGGGTGTACAATCACTTTTGTTGGGCACTGTATATTTCCACGAAAATCCATCAGAAAATTTTAAAAGACGTCTCATTGTGAAGAGAATACTTTACTTTACCAGACTATGCATAAGAAAAAAGTTTGAAAGCACTGGAAATTTACGAAATCAAAACCATTGAGTATTTTTACTTTTACAGCAAAAACTTGAAAAGTTCGTAAGTTTTTCAGGAAAGGTGATGGAATGTTGGTAGTGGTCCTATTTTCTTAGCTACACTTTTCTCTGTATTAGTCTATGTTTAACTCAATTTTTAACGAAATTGAGATGGAAACCTTAAAAACTTCAAATGAATCTCACTCTATCAACTAATAAGATTTATTTGGCATTTTTCCTTAACTCAGTCACTCGAAACAAATTAAACTAAAGTTAAGAATTATTTAAGTTTTAATTATTTAAGAGTAACATACGATTCAAGATGGAGGAGAATCATACTCAAGTAGCCGGTTCAATAAATGGTAGTCAACATGAGAAATTTACCAGAGAACTTCCACTCGACGTCATCGCCATGGATAAAAATAAAGCAGAAGAATGGACATATCTGATAAATGACTTTTTTGACATATTAGAATTAACAAAAAAGACAAACATCATCCAAATTTTTATCATTCTGGTATCCTAAAATTAGCTGATAAATGGGGGAAAGACTCTGTCGAGATGTTTGGATACGATGCTGTTACCCCCTATATTCATATTTTCTCCTCGCACATCGGTGAATTCTACAAAATGTATTATGATCTGAATAAATATTCATTACAGGGTGTGGAAAAAATGAATGATGTTCTTACAACGGATTATT